TGTGAGTCTTCTTCACCAAGTGAGTCTTCTTCACCACTGTGAGTCTTCTTCACCAAGTGAGTCTTCTTCACCGATGTGAGTCTTCTTCACCAAGTGAGTCTTCTTCACCAAGTGGTAGTGAGTTGGAGTTAGTTCAGTAGTATTAGCCATTGGCTAGACTGAAAAGCCGGCCTATTACAACAATTCTATATATTTTAACACTACTTACAGGTTTTGTATATTGTCTAAAAGAAGAACTGAAACTTGCTTGAACGAGAGTGGAGGACACATAATCCTTCAATGCCTCAGCCAATGACATGGCCTTATTCTTGTCTCCCATTCGTTTCACCTCTTCTAGACTTGTATTAATCTAATAGGGAAGACAAATACATTCACTTTTAAAGCTGCTTTCGACTAAAACCTTGCCAAAGCAACACCGTGCACTGGCCTAACAAGATTCCCAGAATTCGCCTGGGACTGACACGTGTTTTGGAGGCAAAGTTCCTGCCCCCTGTGCCCCATTGTCGCTATCCCCACTAACTAGTCCAAATTTGGAAAAAAAGCATATCTTAAAGTGTTGTTACACCAGGCAATTTTTCTTGCAACTTGTCTTCTGTTGTGTGATGAATAAGCCCCATGCAATTGCACATACAGTTGGATGTTACACTAGCCTAGGTAACGTTTCCTGCAACTGGCCTCGCAACAGCGACCGAACAGCGATGGAACTGGGATGGTAATTATTTTACGTAAAACGGAATATCATTGGTCGCAAGACAAGTTACAAGAGGGGTGTTACCGACACTAGAAAATGTCTCGCAATTGTGTTGCAGACAGTAGAACTCGGCTCTACTTCTTGCAAGAGTTGATACAACAAAATTGCGAGACACTGGGCATGCTACTCTAGACAATTTCTCGTACAACTGGTATAGCAACAAAATTACGAGACTAGTTGCCAGGAAAATTGCCTAATTTTATTACCTGAGAGAAGTTTATCTCGTAACCATTATAACCATCAGTCACCCCATTCAAGCACTCTAGTAAATCTTTATACATTTCTCGTTTGACAAAAATTTCAATTACAGCTTCTTGCAAAAACCTGAGAAAGCAAAAAAAAAAAATTCCATAAATTTCAGATTGCCCAATAGACGTCCTCGGCTTGAGCGGGCTAGAGTGTGCTCAAGCATAATGTTTTCCATGTTTTCCCTAAATGTTTTTATTTTAGACCACATCTCATTCCTTAGAGTATGGTTTCTTTGTTTAACAGTTGTGCTCGGTTGCACATGAGAACAGGGATGAATACGGATACAACTCAAACAAAGAATCTCATTCTCAAGGAAATGACATGTGGTCTGGAATAGGAAAGCATTTTCAACATGCTGAGGTCTATTCAAATCTTCGACCGACAATGTTTTTTTTGAAATAGGTATATAACAACTATAATACCAAAACAAAAAGCTTGAAAAGCTGAAATATTAACCCCATTACAAGATCACGTGAGTGGTGACTGAAATAGACCTCTTCACCTTGGTTGTATGTTTTCCCACTTCAGACATGTCATTCCCTTGAGTATCATTTCTTTGTTTAAGGATTGCATGTGAGAACACACATTAATATGGATCAGCTAAAAGAAAAAACATTCTCAAGAGAATGACATGTGGTCATCTACCAAAAATGGGGAAACATTATGCCCAAGCTAAATAATAATTAGATAATTAATATTAATATAAGTGTGGCTTATATTGCAGAGGAAAAATACTCTAAAACTGCACCCATATGCTTCTCCCCTTGGCCCAACCCCTTATCCCCCGTTTAAGTGCTTCACATTGTGTTACAGCTCACCTGCCATTTTTCTTTAGAAACTGTATAAGAATATTTTGTTTTTTAAGAAACTCCACTTTGTTCTGGCTGCCCATACTGTTCCTTATGGCTTCCAGGGCTTGAAAACTTGGTTTGTAGACAAATTCAATCTCTAGTTGCTCCCATGTAGTGGTTGGAATACCTAGTTTTTTGGCTGTGTCACTTGGGAACTACAGTATTAAAAAAAAGAACATACAAAGGTAAATTACGAGCCTTGTATGAAATGACTGAAGAAGAGGGCCAATGGGCCTTTCACATTTTCAAGTCGCGCAAAAAATGAGCCAGCTCAACTACAAACCATGGACAACTGTTTTGGCCTGTATTGGGCCTTGCCGGCCCGGTGTATCTAGTGAGCTCATAGAATTCCACGAAAAAATAGTACGAGAGATGAGGTGGTAAGCCATGTGGGATGGGCTCGGAAATCATTTTTAATTCTTAAAAGAACATGCATGATAGGTAAAAAAAATAATTGAAGTACGAATTAAGTAGGAAAAAAAAMCAGAACTTGCTACACTGCATGCTTAGTTGTGTTTTTCTAGTCTTGATCTTGGCTGATCAAAATCAGGAAACTTCTAACACACAGATCTAAATGGGATTTAACTTGTCAGGTTTTGCAGAGAGATGGAAACCGTAGAACTAAAAGAACCCTTGCATCAAGGAAAAGAAAAAAAATGTACTACATGTAAAAAGATGCGGCTGTAGTGCTGACAATCAATGCATTGAAATGGTATTCAAGGGGCCTTGAAGTAAATCACCCAATCGCCAATGATACAGTTACCGCTATGGTATAGCAACCACGTCAAGTCAGGTATTATTATTTTCATCAAGCCTATTGTATCTCACCTTTTCCTGCACAGCTTTGAGATATTTTTCAACATTAGACCTATCATGGCCATAGGAGTGAATCAATATTGATTCTGTTAACGTCTGGGAGAGGATGATGGCTTTTTTCTTCAGCGCTAAGCCTTCCAGTCCTAAATCAGTACAATAATTGATACAGGATAACATTCTGGTCAATGTTGCGTATACCAAATTTACTTGTTCAAGCACCACTTAAGTGCAATGGAGCTGTGATTAAACTTTTTGGGTTTGATATGCTGCCTTAATTCAGGGGCAGTGTTTATTTTAAAAAAGCATACATAATGTGTAACCAATGATTTAATACGAAGTGAATACAAACTTTTAAAAAACTCAAAATACCAATGTTTTTTGTATGAATATAAGCGTCACTTAAAAAAAAAAGACTGTAAACCCTTATTTGGGGGTGGTGATTATTTGAGGCTAGAACTCATTAATAAGTTTGGTCTTGGGCTTGGCACTTATTTGAGGGCGGCATTCAATTAGGGGTGGTGCTTAAATAAGTAAATACGCTAATTTGACTCAATATCGAACTTCAAAAACATGATTCTATTATTTACTTTTCGTATAAGTCAACCCTAAGTTTTTGCTTTAGATCTAGCCAAGCAGGGAAGGAATTCTATTGGTTATTCGAAAAAGAGGAAAAATAATGCTGCTGATTGTGGTGGAATCTTGCAAAACGAAAACAGAAGTCTCAGGGCCATACTCGCAAGGAAAAACTTAGATCATGGTTTTCAGAAATGCTATTTCCCGCATTCTGGGGCTATTTTGGACCAAAAAAGGTATAAAAAATTAATTGTCAAAAGTATACAGCATAAACTCACCTTTCCTTTTACTTCCTGTGTTAAACATGTCACAGACAAAATCAAAGAGAACATTAAAATTAAAAACGGCATTGATATTAGTGATCCACCTGGAAAAAATAATTGCAAGATGATTAAGATAGAAGAAAAATATTAAGAAAGTCATGAGCAGTACTCTATGAGCTATAAGGATGCATTCCATATAGTATACCGAACCCAAATATGGTGACCTACTTCAACGATAGGCCAGCTGCTGTCTTGAATAGCAAGGCATTACACGGCATCCAGAGTGGAAAAAACGATGTTAGTCAGTCCAAAACAATAGATATTTAAATGAACTACTTTGACAATATGGCGGCCACTTGCCAGCAGGGACAACGAAACAAAATAATGAAAAATACATAGAGTTTGGTGTGTTCCTCCTTTTTTATGGGTAAAGGTGATCAAAGGTGGCAAAAGAATCTAACAAGAATATAACAAGAGAATAACATTGTGTGAAATGGGAAACAGTACGCCAAGCTGGAGTCTAATAAATAATGGATTGGAGAGTTTGATAGTTGATAATAATTATTTGTTACTTATTATTATTACTTTTTGAAGACTTCATCAGGAATGGCACCACAGTCTGTTTTTGGAAGGATGGTCTTGGTAAAGTATGTTACTACTTCTGGCTGTAAATATGTGTCTTGTACTTGAGATGAGGAGATGAGGGTCTTACATGCCCAGTATAATTGCTGGATGCAATCATACAAACATTATGTAGAAAAAGTAAAAAAATAATAATTTATTGACTGTGCTACGTTCTGTACCGTGAACATTTCTACAAGTTTTTGATTTCTTTTTGACATCTTTTTCACAACTTTTTGACAAGTTTTAAGTGTTCTTTTGACTGATAACAAATCATTGGTGCTATTGGTGCTTCACATCTATTGATGTTTGGATGTCATTACATTGATGTACAAACTCCCCCTATCGAAAAATCAAGGTGAAGCGCCAACGTCTTATATTGGTTTGCAATTAAGATCATTGTTTATCAAAACTTGTTAAAAATGTCAAAAAGTCATTAAAACAAAATCAAAACCTTGTGTCAGTTTAATGATATGATGCATTAAGCACAGTACTTGTTTTATTATTGATACATTTGCGTCAACAGACTAAGTACATCATATAATCCATATACAGTAATGTACATGTCAAAAAACTACATTTTGTAATGAGAATGGCAAACGTTGTCTTTGATGAGACTGTACTGAAGCTGTTTGTAAGTGGATACATAGTGGATCGTACCGAATTGGATGTAAATGATCTTTTTAAAATGTGGATCGAAATGACCTGGATTGAAATGACTGTTGCTTGAAAAGACCAAATACCCAAATGTATTATTTAATAACTGCCCAAACATGTCTTTAAAAATCAAAACTGTAGTGATTTTCTTTAAAACTAATGCTCTTTCTTTTGGAATCAATATCCAATATTATGCAATGTGTAATTCCACAAAATATCCATACCCACCATGAAGAAAATTGGAAATTTCCAAGGTGTGGGGGGAACTTTTTTTCAAAGTTCCTCCATGGGGGTATGTAAATTTTCTAAGAACCACAGAATCTGTAACAATTTGGTTAAAAAAGCATTTGGTTTGATTAAAAAAACCATCTTGAGTAAGAAAGTTACCTTTTTGACCAGAGACTGTAGGCATTTGAGGACAGAATACCTGGCTGAGGCAACTAGGAGTAGTATCTCAATAATATAGACCTAAAAGGAAGAATTGAAGATCTCATTAAAGTAAGACATGCTCTTGACAAGTGGATGAGAGGTCAAAGTCTAGGACTGTTAAAAAGTTTAACCACATTTTCTATCTAATAGACAACTTGCACTAACAAACAACTGTCAAAATAAATAACAACTGTCAAAATAAAATACAGAAATGAAAAGAGCATCTCGGCATTAGAAGGGAGGAGGAGTTTCAGCTCATAATAAGCAACACAGGAGAAAGAGCATCTCGGTATTAGAAGGGAGGCGGAGTTTCAGCTCATAATAAGCAACACAGGAGAAATGGCATTAGATATAAAATTGAATGTTTTATAAGGATTTGTATGGGAAAATGCGCTGGATGGCGAAAGCTTACCAGCCAACACTTTTCCCATACAAATCCTTGTAAAACATTTGATACTATATTTAATGTCATTTCTCCTATAGTCAACATTTTGAGCTGAAACTTCGCTGTCTTACTAAAGTTGAGGTGCTCTTTTCATTTCTGGAGTTACTTTTGCCCCATTTGCTTGTTTCAAGGGGAATGGGGTCACGTGACCCGTTAGTGCAAGTCGTCTATTCTGGATCAGTACTATTTTTTGATGAAAATAACTGGACATACTGGTAAAGGAGTATTTCTTGGTGCTTTGATATCTTCTGGCTGGAACTGCTTGTTGCCCTTTTTGACTATTGTATCCAGAAAAGTTGAGGCAGATTGCTGTACATCCTACAAGTATATGTTGATAATGATTTGTGGTTTTTCCTTCACAGGAATAGTAAGTAAATGGTGGTATTTAACTTAGCAAAAGAAAGTGTGCAAGGCATTCTGGTAGTGCTAGTACTAGGCCAGTTGTACAAAGGGGGGATTAAGTGCTATCTGATTGATAAATCCTACAGTGGATAAATTTATTGCATAGCAGCATAGACTTATCCACTAGATAAAGATTATCGGGCCCTGGTGTATCAATAATTCATCATGCAAATTTATGCCAATAGTAGCAAATGTTCAATGAAAAAACAAATGGACTTACCTTCCTCACAGCTTCACTGGTGTATTTATAGACCCTGTGCTGGGCACTGATCTCATCAAATAAAAACTCGAAAAACTCCTAAAAATTGAGATTGATATCAGTTTAATTTTACTTGTCCCATGAAAAAATAGTAACTAAAGTATAATAATACATGTGGTAGTAGTTTTTGACTGTCTAAAATACAATTGCAAAAGGAAATGCAGGATATGAAAATGATCTTTGGCACCCAACCTGCTGCAACAGTGGATAGGAAATGGTGATGATGTTGGTGTTGGTGATGATGGTGATGATGATGGTGGTGGTGGTGATGATGATGATGATGATGGTGTTGGTGATGATGATGGTGATGATGGTGTTGGTGATGATGATGATGGTGATGATGATGGTGATGATGATGGTGATGATGGTGTTGGTGATGATGATGATGGTGATGATGATGGTGATGATGATGGTGATGATGGTGATGATGATGGTGGTGGTGGTGGTGATGATGATAGTGATGATGATGGTGTTGGTGATGATGATGATGGTGATGATGATGGTGATGATGATGATTTTGAGAAGACACTAGCTTTGTGCTTTTCTTTTGTTTTACATTTAATTGACTGTTAGTCACTAATAGTCCATTTTACAGTTCCATTCAGTGTCCATGTATAATATTCCAAGCCGAGGTTGGAGTTGCCATGCATGATAAAACGTATAGTTTTGCTATGCGTGGAAACTCCAGCCTTGATCATGACTTGGAGCTCGACTTAGATTAGCGCAGAGGTTAACCACCATCTTAGGGTATCAAACAAAATTTAAAGGTTTTGTTTGGTGCATATCTTACCAGTGAATTGAGATTCCCATTAACATATAGCCCAGGAAGAGTAATCGTCATTGCATTCCTAAGTCCTTCCTGAGAAATACTACTTGAAGCTTTCCCAGTAGAGTTCTTTGTTGTTTTTGGCTTCGCTAGGCCCAAGAACAGATTCTTGAAGGTATTAATGGAAATAGACTTCGTTGGGGTGCTACTGAAGTTGAATGTTTTCCCTTGAAATTAAGTGAAAAAAAGGATAATTAAAGTAGCAGAAGTGTCTGTCTGTCTGTCCATCTGCCTGTCTGTCCGTCTGCCTGTCTGTCCGTCTGCCTGCGGCCTGTCTGTCCGTCTGTTTGTCTGTGATAAAACCAGTCATTTGCTTGATATGTCCATTAGCTTGCAAAGGTAAAGGCATAGTTGGATTTTTTTGTTTTTGTTTTTCAGGCTCATTACAGAAGAGGACTTAATCCAAATAACCTGTGATCAGGGATGTACTGTAGCCCCTCCACCCTCTCTGGCTGTTACAGTATGTCCCTTATGATGTGTAGTGAAACAAGATGAGCATCTTAACTGAAGTTCAAAATATAAAACTAGGTTCAAGTAAAAGAAATTTTGGAGAAAGAAGCAGCTAAGTTGTCAGACTATAAGGAAGTGTAGTCAGGACAAAAAATAATGGCTAGGTCAGTTAAGGCCAAATTAGTTTTATGCCTTGTTTCTGGCCCAGCGTTACTGGCCAAGCAAGGAAAAGATTTGCCTGACCAGCAAGGCAGAGATGTGACTTTCCAATTCGGGGCAGACATTGTCTGATGCAAGTTTTTCCCCCCAGGGTTTTTACTTTAAGGGTTCTGCCTACGGCAAAAATAATTTGTTTAAATCAAGTAGTATAGGGAATGGGGGTTCCAGCGCAATCTCAACACGGGCAAGACCCGTGTCAAAAATCCACCTACGGAAACAACCCCACTCAAGTGTGGTTGGGGGCAACAGCGCAAATATGTTAGTCTATATATGGAGTGCGAAGAATGTAAGAGAACTTTTAAGAAAGAA